ATCTTAATAATTTTATATAATCTGTATTTGGTGTACGTTCTTTTAAAGGGCCACTAAACTTTTAGTCTCTCATGTAAAAGCTATCAATAGCTTTTATATACATGTGAAAGTCCTCTAAAAGAGCTTTAAAAACTGTTTTTTTTTTAGCATGGTACATGTTTGTTTTTTTTTGGTATCATCAGTCATGTTAAGCTGTGGAGGGGCTGGGAAGTGTGCACCCAGCATGTCATCAGTGTCCTTCCAAAGGATTAGTTGACAGGAAGTCCAAAGTATGTAACTAAGTTCCTCTCCTAATAATACCAGTATGTTGTGGTATTATTTGAATAAATTACATCATCTCTTTTATTAACTGCTTGGATATTAAATAAAGTATTTTGACCATATGATTTATTTTTTTCCATTATGGCAGTGTTCTCCAAGAAGCAGTAAACAAACTGTTCAAATAGCGGTACTCAAGGTCATATTGGTGATTTCACCACAGAATAAAGGAGGTTTTATAGGGTTACATAATTTCATTTCTGCTAAAGCAGTAATCCGATTTTTGATTTAGGATATGTTTTGCCTCTTTTGAAGGAAGTAGGAAATTAGAATTGTTTGGGGGGGTTCAGCAGAATAATTATATTAGATAACAATGTTGATGTAACTTGAGATTATGCAGCTTTTTGTGGATAAGGCAGATAACAATGAGCAATACACAGTGACCTCTTGCAACCAAAAGGTAAAACAAGTTTTTTTTTATGCACATTCACCTCATCGCTGGACTTTGAATTATATATTGAATATTTAATTTACTTTTTACTGTTATTGATGTGTGTTTTACAATTATTATTAGAATATTAGAGTTTTTTTAGCTGCTTTAAATATGACATGCAAGGGCATTTAATTCCAAAATGATGTTTTTTTAAACTTAACAAAATTGCAGGCAAGACATTAAAATCATCAGCATGTTAAATGATAAAACAAGTTGCACATGTTTGCATTTTATTTTGTGGACACAACATAGGTTTAACCACTTCCAGTATGGGCCAATTCTGACATTCCTTTCCTGCATGTAAAAAACATATTTGTTTTTGCTAGAAAACTACTTAGAATAAAAATATTTTTTTAAGCAGAGGTCCTAGAGAATAAAATGGCGGGTGTTGCATATTTTTATGTCACACGGTATTTGCGTAGCAGTTTTTTAAAAACACAATTAAGAAAAAAAAATACAATTTAATGATTGAGCTCTAGAAGGTTTTACCCCCTTCATGACTAGGCCATGTTTTGCTATTCGGCACTGCGCAACTTTAAATGGCAATTACGTGGTCATGCAATTCTGTACCCAAATGAAATTTATGTCATTATTTCACATAAAATAGAGCTTTTTTTGGGTGGTATTTGATTGGCACTGGAATTTTGAAAAACAACTTTTTTTTATATATAGTAGAAAAAAAAAATCCCAATATTCTAGTGTCTTTATAAGTTAATTTGGTTTTTGTGAATGTTATAGCGTCTAAAAACTATGGTATATATATTTGAAAATTGATCAATCCTGATGTAATAACTATCTCATTTTTTGAGGCCCTAAAACATCAGGACAGTAAAATTACCCCTTTTTGGAAACTAGACAATCTGAGATATTTAGTAAGAGGCATGGAGAGTTGTCATTTTTTTGTCACAATTTTTTGGGAAATGGAGAAATGAAATAATTTTTTTTTTCACCTTTTTATTTTATTTACATATTGTCACCAGTGCAGTACAGCATCATCATTTAACTGATGTGGCGGTGATCAGGAAATCTGACCGATGAGAGTATGTAAAAAAATAAATGCTTTTTACATTTTTTTTTTTTTTAACATTTTTGTATTTTTTAACATTGGGTTTCCCATTCATGAAAAGCTTGCATTTTATTGTGATCTGTGATTGGCTAAGCTAGTTACATGGTAGGAAAACTTCATAAATGGAAAGCCATTCATGACAGGTTGTTTACATTGTTATCACGTGATTGCTATGACCAATAATAGCGATCAGATGATACCCAGTTACTGGCAACAGTGGTCCACTGGACACAGCGGTCACAGGAGGAACACACTCCTAAACCCGAGCAGGCTCAATCATGTATATATATGTGCTGCCCGGTGATAGTAAATGTACGGGACTGCAAGTGGTTAATGAATTTTAATGCACAAAAACAGAATATAATACCCAATTTTTGCTAAGATATAAAAGATGATGTAATATTGAATAAATAGATAGCAAACTTCTCACACTTTAAAATTGCATACGCCCGTGGAACGGCGCCAAACTACTGTAACTAAAATTTTTTAATTTACTTTTTACTGTTGTTTATGTGTATTTTACAATTAATATTAGAGTATTAGTATTAGAGTTATCCTAAAATATGAAATGCAAGGGAATTGTATTCCAAAATGATGTTTCCTAAAGTTAACACAATTGCAGGCAAGACATTAAAATCATCAGCATTTTAAGTGAAAAAGCTACCCATGATTGTATTTTATTTTGTGGCTACAACATAGATTTAAAAATGATATCCTATAAAGTTTTGGTCAACGAACAGAAAATGAAATCTACCTGATGGTCTCTGTCTGCAGTAAGGACAGGACCCTGTGCAGCCATTGCAAATTATGCAGTGTGAATTTGCCCCATAACTTAATGCAGAGGTCTGCATTTTTTATCTGGCCCTCAACTGGGGTCAGTGGTATATCCTCTCAGACTCACACAGTGAGGCATGACATCAGCTGTTCTCTGCTTCTGATGGGGAAGGGGGGCTGATGTAAGGGGGAGGGGCTTTGGTGGGGACCTTGATGTATGGGTAGACTCTGATATGTAAGGGTGGCTCTGAAGTGATGGGGGAACATCTAATGTAAAAAGGGGAACTCTGATGTGATGGGGAAGCTTCTGATCTGAACAGGACATCTGTTATGGAGGGTTTTCAATATAAAAATGGAACGTGCTTACTCATTAATTTAAGTTTTAGTAATCGCTTGTAAACTGTTTTTTTTTTTTGTCCAAACAAATATTTCTAAAATTTATTATGTGGCCCTCATACTGTAAAGTCTGGAAAGCCCTGCCTTACTGCCTAGATTGCCATCATTAGGAACTAACACAATAGGGAGAAACCTTTAGCTCAGAAAGTCCTAAAGCTGAAAGTAAAAAAAACAAAAAAACACATCAGTTGCAAACAATGAAGGAAATAAGTATTTGATCCCCTGCTGATTTTGAATGTTTGCCCACTCACAAAGAAATGATCAGTTTAAAAATCGAATGGTAGGTGTATTGTAACACTGAGAGACAGAATAGCAACAAAAAATTCAAAACAAATGCATGTCTAACAAATTATGCACTGATTTGCATGTTCATGAGGGAAATAAGTATTTGATCCCCTTCACAAAACATGACTTCGTACTTGGTGGCAAATCCCTTGTTGCCAATCACAGAGGTCAGACGATTCCTGTAGTTGGACACCAGGTTTGCACACATCTCAGGAGGGATTTTGGCCCACTCCTCTTGGCAGATCCTCTCCAAGTCATTAAGATTTGGTGGCTGACATTTGCAACTCGAACTTTAAGCTCCCTCCACAGATTTTTAATCGGATTAAGGTCTAGAGACTGGCTAGGCCACTCCAGGACCTTAATGTGCTCCTTCTTGAGCCACTCCTTTGTTTCCTTGGCCAATTTTCAATGCCCTGGCTGAGGGAAGAAGGTTCTCACCCAAGATTTGACGGTACATTGCCCCATCCATCATCCCTTTGATGCGGTGCAGTTATCCTGTCCCCTTAGCAGAAAAACACCCCCAAAGCAGAATGTTTCCACCACCATGTTTGACAGTTGGGATGGTGTTCTTGGGGTCAGAGGCAGCATTCCTCCACCTCCAAACACGGCGAGTTGAGTTGATGTCAAAGAGCTCGATTTTGGTCTCATCTGACCTCAACACTTTCAACCAGTCCTCCTCTGCATCATTCAGATGTTCAGTGGCAAACGTCAGATGAGCCTGGACATGTGCTTTCTTAAGCAGAGGGACCTTGTGGGTACTGCAACATTTCAATCCTTGTCAGCGTAGTGTGTTAGCAATTGTTTTCTTGGTGACTGTGGTCCCAGCTGCCTGGAGATCATTGACAAGATCCTCACGTGTAGTTCTGGGATGATTCCTCACTGTTCTCATGATCATTGACACTCCACGAGTTGAGATCTTGCATGGTGCACCAGACCTAGGGAGACTGACAGTTGTTTTGTGTTTCTTCCATTTGCGAATGATTACACCAACGTTTGTCACCTTCTCACCAAGCTGCTTGGTAGCCCAGTCCAGCCTTGTGTAGGTCTACAATCTTGTCCCTGACATCCTTGGACAGCTCTTTGGTCTTTGCCATGGTGGAGAGTTTCGAGTCTGTTTGTTTGATTGCTCCTGTGGAGAGGTGTCTTTTTATACAGGTAAAAAAATGAGATTAGCAGCACTCCCTTTAAGAGACTGCTTCTAAGCTTGTTACCTGCATGAAAGACACCTGGTAGCCAGAAATCCTGCTGAATGATAGGCGATCAAATACTTAATTCCTTCATGAACATGCAAATCAGTACATAATTTGTTAGAGATGCATTTCTTCTGAATTTTTTTTGTTGCTATGCTGTCTCTCAGTGCTACGATACACCTACCATTTGATTTTTAGACTGATCATTTCTTTGTGAGTGGGAAAACATTCAAAATCAGCAGGGGATCAAATACTTTTTTCCTTCACTGTACAACCTGACTTTATATACTGTACATTTGCTAATCATTTTTATTCTGGCTGAGATTTCCCACAATAGTACTTTATTTATTGCATTCTTTTGAATAATTTACAGTATATTAGGCAGTGTCTTAAGAATGAGCCATGGATCGGCTGATAAGTTAGAGCCATCCAATGGATTTTTTGAATGATGACATTGTTCACCTTTCACCTCTTATTTAATTGAATTGTAATCTATAATCACTGATTTAATGTTTTTTTTTTTTTTTGCTTTAACCAGCCTAGAGTCACGCCTGAAGGAGAGTACCTACCACTGGACCATACAGATATCAACGTTGGGTTTGACAATGGCACAGACAGAATCTTCCTTGTGTCTCCAGTTACCATTGTCCATGAAATTGATGAAGAGAGCCCCCTGTATGAAATTGGTAAAGCAGACTTGGATACAGCTAACTTTGAACTAGTCGTCATCCTTGAAGGCATGGTAGAAGCTACAGCAATGACCACGCAATGCCGTAGTTCGTATCTTCCATCTGAAATTCTTTGGGGGAGTCGATTTGAACCAGTCTTGTTTGAGAAACGTAATCATTATGAGGTGGACTACCTACACTTCCATCGTACTTATGAAGTCCTCAATACTCCCACATGCAGCGCCAAAGAGCTTTCTGAAAGGAAATATTCCATGGTGACCCGCAGTTCATTTTGCTATGAGAATGAAGTAGCTCTTAACTGCATCTGTGATGAGGAACCACCTGCTCTTGTGCACACAAAATCATTGAATGCTGAAGTATCTCTTGAGTTAGACATGCTTAGGGTGGTGGATCCCCTAGATGAAATACTGCTAACATGATTTTATGAATGGATTTTACTCAACCACTGGGTTTTGTGTAGTGGGAACATAGCAGAGATCTGCTACAAATGAGGACATGTTTTCTCCTCTACATCCTTTACAGGAAAAAGATATATTTGAAGGAGAAAAAGTCACATTTGCTGGACAAAGGTACAATCTAAACAAAGCTTCTACTGATGCTTTTGTAGCATCAAGCTTTGTTCAAGTGGTCAATGGATACTCAAGTCATCTGCTTTAACAATGCTAGATTGCTTTATTCATTTCCTTCTCAGCAAATGCAGCTTTTGCACTTTGGTGAACACGAGTAGCCAAGAGTTTATCACTCAAACATAATACAGCTTAACCTATCAATCATGTCAAAAGCATCAGCAAACTAAGGTCATGTTGAAATCCTTATTAAAAAGACAAAAGGTTTCTTATCCTAACTAGGAGAACACTTTAATGACTTCTGTGAAGTGTAGAATTATGATTCTCCCTAAATATCATAGAAGAATTTGCTGAGATTTTCAGACAAAACATACAAAATGCCAAATATAACCAAGAACAGCAAATAATCCATATAATGATAACATCCTGTACCTGCCACATTCCCTGAATGAGTGAGCTATTTTGAATTCTGACCCTATAAATGTGTTATGATCCATTAGAATTGTTGAGGAATATGTTATATATTCACAGTGATAATGTGTCAGAATACAAAATGGCTTTCTTAACATGTATAGGAACCAGGTACTTGTTAACCAAATATTAAATGCAACCCCACAAAAAACTATTGTTATACAATGTATTAATTGATATGACCATTTTTTAAGAAATTAAAAAAAAATAAATAAACAAAAAAATATAGGAAGGGGTATATCTTATGATCTAATTCATAAATGTTAGACATCAAAGGCTTTTCAAAACAAAACTCAGTAGCATGGCATACATCTGAATCTTTTTTCTCCTAAATGCTAAAAAAAATACAAACATTTTCAGTACATTATGTTGTTGACTGAACAAAGTGACTAAATGTAAATCTTTTGAGCTTCTGTCAACCGTTGAAGGATCTCTGGCAACTGTCCAAGAAAGGTGTGGAAGGTCTACGATATAGTCAGATTTTCTGAGTGGTTTTACTTTTGTTGCGTGGAATGAAGGGTTTTTCAACTAGTTTTTTTTAAGGTAGATCTAGATATTGTGATGGGCTGGCAGTTCAAGATCACTATACGGTTATTAAAACTTGAAACAGAATGGTGTCAAATCATTGCATCTAATTTTATCTCAGCTAAGCATAGAGTGCCAAATGTAAACATTTGCAGAAAAAGTGGATTAACAGGCCACTGCCAGGCCCATCACACAACAATGTTATTTTACTCTTTTTAGCATCCAACTGAAAAACCCTATAAGTGCTATACACTTATGTGATATACAAGGAGGAAATGTTATTAGCAGCCAGGGTCAGGAACCAACTGGGTGCTTCACTTTACTATCACACTTTGTAATAAAATGAAAAAGAACCATTTACTCTTTTAGGGACTTCTTGGCAAGAGCTCTGACCATCTGCCTTGTTCATTAGGAGAGTTTCTCACTTAATGTTGTTGCTTTTTCCATCTCTGTTTTACATCGCCAGTAATGCAACAGGAAGATAAAGACCTATAAATGTGGATTTGTAATGGCTGAGCTAAACACTTTGGTGGAAGGACCTTGACCCTGAAGCCCCTGAGTAAAGATAGCACCCAAAGCTAAGATAGCACATAAATCTAAGAGCCTTTAAAAACACACCTGATGGTTGATTGCATCAGGTTAACTTAAACAGGAATATTTAAACAAGGAAAGTCTCAAAGTCTTGTGTATGCCATACCTGGGTCGAATTCCGGACGATTTGTCATTCAAAAATAAAAAATGTTGTGCTTTTTGTAATCCGATGGTGCCACCATTGATTTCGAAATTTGACCAACCAAGCCTTCAATTTCACATCATGTTGTTACGGAAAAGAAATTTCGTGGCCGGGAATCTTTTCTTTCCAGGTTACAGCTCATGTGGAATTCTTTTTTCATTATATTTCTGGCACAATTCTTCCATCATTGATTAGAAATTCAATTGTTTTTCAAATTCACTCAGATTCAAATCTTATGGCAGCACGAAATTGGCCATTGCTGCTGCCTTACTACTGGTCGAGATTGGAATGATAATTCAAAATTACGATTTTCAACAGAAAAATCATTTGGAATTCCACCCATGTATGGTTGGCCTTGGAGTAAGCAATCAGCAGTGAATGCTCTCGCTAATTATTGTTATGAAATGTACAAAATAAACTAATTTACAGGATATAATATTTTACTGTATTTGGAACACACATTATATAAAAAAATTGCCAAATGAAATATTCAAGTGTATAGATGGGTAATTTCAGCAATGCTCATGACAATATTCAGTTACCCCAGCACATGGTACAAATGTTTCAGGTTTGTTAAAAATAAAGCATATTTTGGACCTTAACTGCATTATGAAACTGATTATTTATTTGTTCCTAAAGCATGCATTACTAACGCTTAATTTTTGCAGGAATCTGGATAGTTACAGAGTCAGACTAGCTACTAAAATATAGATTATAGATGAAAATTTTAAATCACCTTACCTGTAAAGGTTCATCCACTTTAGAATAAATGAATCATTTAGGAAAAAGAAGAGAAAATATGTGAATTAGTCCAGCTTTGTATTAAGAAACTTTGAAGCTTCTTTCCTGCTGAATGTAAAATTTGTTAAAGAATGATTCATAAGATTTTGAGATTATAAATCTTTAAAGCTGAACAAAATAATGTGCATTTCTAGCCAGCAAATCTTAAGATTTACATAGCATAGTCTTGTCTGGCAGGAGAGGGGACTTGATCTTTTTCTGCTGCAGGTTCAATTTTATTACAGGTTTCTGGGCACCCTACCGTGAATGTTTAGTGGAAATAGAAGCAGAACAAGAAATGCAGTGCGGATACTATTCAATCCATACTACATTTTTAAAATGACCTTTAAGCCAGAACTCCAATCAATTTTTTTATTTTACCATGGCGTACGGATGTGCCCACACTGCATGGGTTAACTGCTCATTTTGTCCAGGCGGGTGTGGTGATGTCAGGAACAGGGGGGGGGGGGGGGGGGGGTGTGTGGTGTGTGGTGGGGGGGGAGGAGCAGATACAGTAGTAAATGGTTAAAGAAGAAAAGGCAAACCTTTTTTTTATTTTCCCATGCTGTGGGGCTGTGCCCATACTGCATGGGTTAAATGCTTGTTTTTGTCTAGGGGCTTGGAAAGCAAAGATATACTTACTTAATCCACCGATCCTCTGAACACAAGACTGGTCACAGACATGACCATGGTCTTGTATGTCTTCCATTTTCTAATTATTGCTCCCACAGGTGATTTGTTCACACCAAGCTGCTTGCCTATTGCAGATTCAGTCTTCCCAGCCTGGTGCAGGTCTACAATTTTGTTTCTGGTGTCCTTCGACAGCTCTTTGGTCTTCATCATAGTGGAGTTTGGAGTGTGACTGTTTGAGGTTGTGGACAGGTGTCTTTTATACGGATAACAAGTTCAAACAGGTGCCATTGATACAGGTAATGAGTGCAGGACAGAGGAGCCTCTTAAAGAAGAAGGTACAGGTCTGTGAGAGCCAGAAATCTTGCTTGTTTGTAGGTGACCAAATACTTATTTTCTACCATATGCAAATAAATTCTTTCCAAATCAGCCAATGTGATTGTCTGGATTTTTATTCTCTTTTTGTCTCTCATAGTTGAGGTCTACCAATGATGCCAATTACAGGCCTCTCTCATCTTTTTAAGTGGGGAGAACTTGCACAATTGGTGGCTGACTAAATACTTTTTTGCCCCACTGTATATTATATGGTGTCAGATCACGCAATTTCTGGAACTGAAGGAATGTTATGTATTTATTTATATTTTTTATATATTTTATTATCAAGCACTTTGTTATGAGTTTATTTACTATGGTTGTTTAGCATTTGATGGATTGATGTTTTATGCTTTCATTATTACAAGTTCCTGCCAGCAGCCCTACATTACACACTACTAATATTTATTTTAAAATAACTAAAGTAAAATTTCAAGCATACCTATAGTGCTCAGCATACATGAGTACACCCCAACAGATTTGTCAGAAAACCTTTATTTTCCTTTCAGAATCAACATTTTCTATGGGACACTTATACTACAAAATACTCCAGCAAATGATTTTTTGCCATTTATTGCAAACACGATTTGTTAATTTGCACACACAAAAAAGTATTTTTCCTAACAAGTTCATTCAAGACCATGTGGCAAAAATGTATATTCCCCAACGCTCCTGCCCCTCCACACACCAGCGGTCCTGTGAATGGGCTGTTTCTGACATCATCACACCCATAGACCAACCCTGGACATGAGTCCACCGCTGGATGTGGGGGAGCTTGGTTTTTCGGGAGGATCAGAGGAATGGGTAAGTATAGCTTTACCCTGAGCCCCTAGACAACACGAGCACTTAACCCATGCAGTGCGAGTACAGCCCCCTGCATGGGAAAATAACATTTTTACCAGATGTCTGCTTTAATTACCTTACAGAATGTTTTGCTGTCTGTGTCCTGTTGGGGAGATTTCCCATGACTTCCTGTCCTGGAGACACAACAAAAAAATTAAACTATCTCCAAAGTGATGGGAAATTCATTCTTATATAATTGTCACCTGAACAGGTGTCCTCATTGGATAGTTTTCCATTACCTTCTGTACTAGTGACAACTATAAAAAGTTAAATGTCCTATCACTTTGTGTACCTGTGACAGATAGTGAGGGTTCTTCATTTCATTAGGGCCACAGAGAATAATAAAACCTGACAGAAGTTTTAACCCATCCTCACACTTGGGCTTTAGATATCATAGTCTATGCTCTCTTTTGAAAATAGTGGATTCAGGAACCTGAACCTTCTGTTACTGTAATGAGGGATTATACTGACCAATAGTAAAGAAAAAGACTTTAATTCC